TTTTGGGATCTCAGGAGGAATTTTGGGAACAGGAACAAGAATTTGGGGATCAGATGTGGAATTTTGGGAATAGGAGTGGGAATTCTGGGTGGGAACTCAGTTGGAATTTTGGGATCAGGAATTTTGGGATCAAACCTGGAATTTTTGGGATCACAGCTGAAATTTTGGGTTGGAATTTCCAAAAAAAAAACAAAAAAAAAGCCCCACAGGATTTTTTTCCAGGATCGACCCCTCTGGAGCTCAGGAATTTGAGGAGGGGGGAGGGAATTTTCCAGGAATTTCTTCTGGAATTTTTTCCCCTTTGGAATTCCAGGCTTTGCCCCCAAATCCCAAATTTCCTTTTCCCAGATAAACCTGGAAAAGCTCAAGGAAAGGGCCCAGAGGTTTGGCCTCAACGTCTCCTCCCTCTCCAAAAAGGTGAGAGTTGGGAATTCTGAAAATTCTGGGAATTCTGGGAATGCCAGGGCCTGGATTATCCCAAAATTCCAAAGTTTTCCAGCCCTGTTTGGGTTTTTTGGGGGGAAATTTTGGTTGGTTTTTTTCAGGAATTGGGGGTTTTTGGGGGGAATTTTGGGATTTTTTTCAGGAAATTTGGGGTTTGGGAATTTTGGGGTTTTTTGGGAATTGGGATTTTTGGGAATTGGGATTTTTCAGGAATTTTGAGGTTTGGGAATTTGGAATTTTTTTTTGGGAATTGGGGGTTTTGAGAATTTGGGTTTTTAGGAATTGGGATTTTGAGGAGTTGGGGTTTTTTGGGAATTGGGATTTTTTGGGGAATTGGGATTTTTCAGGAAATTTGAGGTTTGGGAATTGTGGAGGTTTTTTTGGGAATTGGGATTTTTGGGGAATTGGGTTTTTTCAGGAATTCTGAGGTTTGGGAATTGGGATTTTTTGGGGGAATTTGGGGTTTTGAGAATTTGGGTTTTTAGGAATTGGGATTTTGAGGAGTTGGGTTTTTTTGGGAATTGGGATTTTTGAAGAATTGGGGTTTTTTCAGGAATTCTGAGGTTTGGGAATTTGGTTTTTTTTTGGGAATTTCGAGGTTTTTGGGAATTGGGTCACCCAGGCATAACAGGAATGTTTCCCTACCCTGGAATGGGACTGGGAGAGATCCCAGGGATCCATTCCCAACATTCCCAAAATTCCCAAAATTCCCAGAGTGAGGAGGATGAGAAGCTGAAGAAGAGGAAGGAAAGGTT